ACAACAGGCAACATCCCTCCTCTTATTGAAAATAGTTCCATTCTATCTCTTACATCCACCTGAACAAGCAGATGGGGCCTTGATTAGGCATCTTACCTGAAAAATAGCATTTCCAACAACATAAGACTCCTTTTGTACTGCAGTGGAATGTCAACCTTGATTTTTGAGCTCAAGCCCCTCAACTAGGACATGATCCCAGAATTTTGAGATTTAAAAGGTTACCAACTGAGCCATGGCTGACACTATGAAACAACGTTTACCACTGGATAAAATTCCATTAATTAATTGGCTGAAAATGTTTTACCCCAAAATACTCCAATGACATTCACCAGATTAACAAAGTAGCAGGAACTTCCATTGACCTGGGAGAACTTGTTTCTTTAAGAACTCCTCCCTGCAGGTAAATATGCTAGAAGGGGAAACAAAAACAATTGCGCATCTTAAAAGTGTGCAAAAAACTGGTGTGGTAAAAGATTAGTGACACTATGACCAAGCGTAAACTAAGAAACAACCCCGATGTAAATACAGTGGTCAACACCATCACTTCAACATTGACAGAGGCTTTGCATTAAGCAATGTCTCATGCTGCCAAATAACTATTCAAGATAATAACAATACAAAATCCAAGAGGGTGAGCTACAATACTGATGACCCTTGTTTTCTCTATTATAAAGACTTCTGAATTACATCTCTGCAGGACTGCAGACTCCTTGTCACTGAACCTCTCACCCTAGCATTTGTCATCTCCAGACTCACTTTTCAAATTAGTAGCGATTGCCCATCCTTCAAAACAACTTTATTCAAACTCTTTGAGAGATAGTAGGAACTACAGATGCAGGAGAATCTGAGCTAACAAGGTGTAGAACTGGATGAACACAGCAGGCCAAGCGGCATCAGAAATCCCATTTCTGAAGACGGGTCTAGGCCCGAAACGTCAGTCTTCCTGCTCCTCTGATGCCGCTTGGCCTGCTGTGTTCATCCAGCTCTACACCTTGTTATCTCTTTATTCAAACTCTGTTGGCCACATCCTATCTGTCAACGAGTCTGACTTATTCCACAATCTTGTTCTCATTGGACCATGCCAGCTCAGCCCACCAGCCATATACATTCAAAAATCTAACCCATGCATTTAAATTGCCTCCTTGATTTTGCTCCCTATTTTGTAATATCTGTCAGTACTACAGAAAGATCAACCGACTGGAAATTCTATCCCTTTGAATGCAATTTCTCAAACATCTCCTCATCTACATGTTCCACTATTTGGCAGCATATCATCAGCTGGAATTCCTCCTTCTTGGTCCCTTTCATTGTCATTTTATGTTTAAGATATTGTTAACATCCACCTCTTTGGCCAATCTATTGATTTTTTTCCCCCGACTCCATAACTCATTTGGTTCAGCATCCTTTTCACTTTGATTACCCTTCTGTGAAGAACTTTGTGGTGTTCCTTTCAAGTCAAGGTAAGCTGTAATTGTTGCAATTGAAAGTATGCTCAGCCAACACATTCAAGTTTACTGCAATAACCTACTCATCCATCCCAAATACAAACCTTGCTAGCCATTACTTTTTTTTGGTTCAAAAGTTCAAAAGTATACATAAGTGCCAAAACACTGCATGTATTCAAGAGGCAACTAGATATAGCACTTGGGGTGAATAGGATCAAAGGTTATGGGGGAAAGCAGGATTAGGCTATTGAGTTGGATGATCAGCCATGATCGTGAAGAATGGTGGAGCAGACTCGAAGGGCAGAATGGCCTCCTCCTGTTCCTATCTTTTATGTTTCCATGTTTCTATAAAACTTCGCCATAATTGCAATATTTGTTAGTATGAGTCACCCCTATACACTGTGTAACACTAAGCTCCATAGACCATACTCGCTTTTTGCTCAGTTCAGGAAACTTTTCACTATCCCTCAGGTTTTGTTTTCCCTGAAGAGTAGACTGCTTATAATTTTTCAATAATTGAAAGTTTCTGACATGGTCAGATTACCAGCGATGATTCACACTGAAGCACTAAAGCATCCCTGAAAGATTGGAACCTTGGTACTTCATGGAATCATAAGAAATGATGAATCAGTGGAATGCACTGCCAGAGAGGGGAATGGAGTCAGCCTCATTAGGGGCATTTAAGCGGCTATTAGATAGGCATATGGATGGTAGTACAAGGTAGCGGTGGAGATTAGACAGACCTTAGGTTTCAGGTAAAAGTTTGGCACAACATCGTGGGCCGAAGGGCCTGTACTGTGCTGTACTGTTCTATGTTCTACGTTAAAGAAATACATGTAAAACAAAAAGAATTAGATATTAGGAGGAATGTGCAAATGTTTGGTACAAGATGGATTTTAAGAATGGTCCTAATGGGCCATGGTCCTCAAGTTGTACAAGTAAACTGTATTAAACAAAAGACAAAATACTGCTGGTAATGTAAATGTAAAATAAAAACAGAAAATGCTGTATATACTCAGCAGATCCAGGAGCATCTGTGTGGAGAAAAACAGAGTTAGCATTTCAGGTCCATGACCCCTCATCAGAACTGGGTTATAATCAAGGTTTATGTTCAGAATAGAATGGAACTATCCATTCCTATGGCAATCTCATTAAGCACTTCCTCAATTCTAAGTTGATGTGACGTCCTACATATTTTAAAGTATTTTTGATGTCATCTCAGTAATGGAACCCATAACAAAGATCTACTGGCAGAATCCAGGAATGTAATAAGACAAAAAAAGCTGCTAACTTAGAAGTTTTCAAACTTTAAGAAAAAGCACTGTAGCAGGCTAGGGCTTATACTCAACTGTTTCAGTACAGCATAGATCCCCAAATACTTAAATGATAGCTGACATCAGGGAGAAACATACCATGTTGACCATATTTATGAGCACACCCAAAACATGGTAACCACTCATGAACTTTTTATACATAATTAAAAATAATTACTTCATACCCTGTCGTTATGAGCATGAAAAATCAGAAAACAGCTGATCTAGTTTCTACCACAATTACTCGGAATGCTAACGCTGTCAATAAACATTAAAACCTGGATGTTCAGTGACATTTGATGTCAAAGGCCTATCTCAATTCACAGAATCTTATGTGATGAAACAAGTGCTTTTCATTCTTTAAACAACGTATATACATTGTAAATTACATGGCGCACTCATGGTTAGCAAGTAATACCCACATCTACTTCATTTTGACTGAATTTGAAAACTAACTGATAAGCAATGGTTAACTTCTTCCCTCTTGAGATTGTGATCATAATGCACTTTGGTTATGTGGTTTACAATAGACCCTGTCTGATAATCAGATTCAAATTATGGTCATCACCAGAGTCCTGATATAAGCTGCAAATTAGGAACCTCTGCTGTAACTCATTATACTGATGACCTCTGTGAGAAATGATCTGAATAATCTCTCCTTAATTCACTTGAATTCATGGATTTTTTTTTTTTAAGAGGAATTGAGATTATTAAATGTTCAGGAGAATTGCACCATCTGGGTAACCCAGGTCAGTGACTGCAGCCTTGAACGTTTATTTATTATATTCCATAACTCAGCTACTCAAAGGGCTTTGCAGACTTTTAAGAAGTGTAGTCACTAAAGTAAAGTTGGAGATTCGACAGCCAATTTTCGCACAGCAAGATTTCTTGAACAGTAATATATGGAAAGGTTGAACGGGCTGGGCAAATAGGGGTTTGACAGATGCAAAGGGGATATTTTCCCTCACTGGGAAATCAAGAACAGGATGCAGTTTCAAAATGAGTGATATTCAATTTAACAGAGACAAGGAGAAATTTCTTCTCTCAAGACGGCCGTTATTGTTTGTAATTCTCTCTCTGACAAGCATTGGAGGGCTGGGTTCTTGATTGAATTCAAGGCTGATTTAGACAGATTTTTGACCTACAAGTATAAAAATGGGGACATTAGGAAAGATTTATTCAGGGGTCTCGACTCAATGAATGAAAGGGCTGTAATCTCAAGGAATATGGACCAAGTAATGGAAAATGTGAATAGACTTTGAGTTATGTTTATCGGTCACACACCATGATAGCAAAGTGGCCCATCTAGAACGGGTCTACAACATTGTAGTGTAAAGTTATAGCCGCCGTTACTTCATCAAAAATTGTCTTTCAAAAATACAATTGAGGCTCAAATCAAAATTATTCATCACTTTTCTAAATTTTTAGATGCACAGGGCTGAGATAAATAAGTAACAAACATTTACAATTTGATGACAGCTGTACATTAATGAAACAACACTGATCAAATTATGACAAATTAAAAGATACTGCACGTTGGTGCCATTATCTGGATTAGCAATCCAATTAGCGCATGCACTGAATAGGATTAGTGCATTTACATTGTTTACATGCATGTGGGAATGAAGATTGCTCAACTTTTATGCAACATAAACACCATTTGCCACTTTTCAAAAATGAAACAAGCTACAGGCAACATTTTGCTACTTTGTAAATCTTTATTTCTCTTACATCTGTCTTTAAGAAGAGTATGCTGCAGATCATCAGTTCTTTGTATCCATCCAGTAGGGAAAAGGTCAAACTGCACGCAAGTCTTTTGTGTATTGTATGCTAACAACAGTACAGTTTTTTTTGCAAGTCAGAAGATTTACTGAGTGTATGTGCAGCCTGGATTCACAAATGCACTGGTTAGCAATATTCTCGTTTGTGGCCAATTGCTATGAATCCAATCCATGTGCTACCTATTCTTCAATCTTAAATGGACAAAATTCTCAGAATCAAGACTACAAATGCAAACAAATGGAGTCTTTTGTACTGATTTAAACTTTATAACTTACACAGGAAGATAAAATGGACAGGACCTACATCTTCAAGATGAAAGAAAGACTTAAAAGTTATTATAGAAACTACTGTCAATGTCAAATGATACATTTTAATGACCATGAAAAAATCATCTGAAACAATCTCGAGTGATTCAGCAGGTGACTAAATAGCTGAAACGCAGCTGCAAAGTAACACTTACAGTGACTGTAGTGTAGACAGTCCTTTTAGGGCTTCACTTGGTACAGTTTTCAACTGGTTGTTCTGAAGCATTCTGGAAAAGCAAAAAGGTAGACAACTCAGCATTTTAGCGTAATTTAAGTGCACTGAAATATAACCACAAAACATCTCAAAACAATTTCTTTTTACATGTCAACACTTGTTCTGAGGTCATACAACATCATCTTTTTTACCATTAAAATGGGGAAAATAACTCATATTTGGCTCAAAGTTGGTAGTATAACTATGATTGTATGACTCTATGAAATACAGTAAATACTGATGAAAGATGCCCAAGATTGATACTGTAAGAAAATGATATTTCATGAAAGTAACTATTTTCTAATAGAGTCATACAGCTGTTCAGCATGGAAAGAGACCTTTTGGTCCAACTCGTCCATGCTGACCAGATATCCTAAATTAATCTAGCCCCATTTGCCAACATTTAGCCTATATCCCTCTTAATGCTTCCTATTCATATATGCATCCAGATGCCTTTTAAATGTTGTCACTGTATCAGCTTCCACCACCTCCTCTGGCAGCTCATTCCACACATGCACCACCCTCTGCATGAAAAAAGGGACCCTTAGGTTTAAGGTGAGAGGGGAAAGACTTAAAAGGGACCTAAGGGTCCCTTTTAAGTCTTTTCCCCTCTCACCTTAAACCGATGCCTTCTAGTTTTGGACTCCCCTGCCCTGGGAAAAAACCTTGGCTATTCACCCTATCCATGCCCCTCATGATTTTATAAACTTCTATGAGCTCATCCCTCAGCCTCTGAAATGCCAGGGAAAATAGCCCCAGCCTATTCAGCCTCTCCTTATAACTCAAACCCTTCAACCCTGGCAACATCCTTTAAATCATTTCTGAAACCTTTCAAGTTTCACAACATCTTTCCTAAAGCAGGGAGACCAGAATTGAACACAGTATTCCAAAAGCGGCCTAACCAATTGCGTGCTAGGATTTGCAGATTGTTCCAATTTTACTTTGAAATATTCAGCAGAAATTTAGAATCGTGGAGGTCATCTTGTCAATGTCAGCTTTTTAAAAGAGTTATCCCATTTCACCACCCTGCAAAATATTTAACTTTATTTATTCCTATATGTTAAGTACTTTTTTCAGCTTTCTTTTGAAAGTGTCATCAAATTTGTTTGAATCGTTGTTTCAGACACAGCATTACAGATCATTACATTTCACTGTGTAAAATAATTTCTTATCTTGTCGATTTCATTTGCCAAATACTGCAAATCCACATTCTCTGATTATCAAAACCTCTGCTACGGAAAACATCCGTCACTGCATCATAAACCTGATGTTTTTGAAAATCTTTATTAACTTTCCCTCAGCCTCCCAATGCTTATTTAGCTTCTTTCATGTTACTGAAGCCCTACATCCCCAGTACCATTCTTGAAAACCTCCACTAAACTCCAAGACTTGACCCTTCCTAAAGTGCCGTGTCTAGAACCTATTACGATATTTCAGCTGGGTTCTAATTAGTGATTTATAAAGATTTAGTATAATGCCCTTGTATTCATACTGTCCGCTCCATTTATAACATCAAGGGTCTAATATGCTTTTTAACAGGCTTCTCAACTTGTCAGTAGATGTAAATCCCCAGATTTCTTTCTATTTCTGTGCCCATTTCAAAATATTGGATTTAGGAACACAGGAGCAGGCCATTAAGCCTCTCGTCCCTGCTCCACCATTCTAGATTATGACTGATCATTTACCGCAACGTCATTACCCCATAACCCATACTGACGTTGTCAGTATCCATCAATTTTTATCTCCAACTTATTCAGTGACTGAGCCACCACAGCCTTCTTGGAGAAAGCATTCCAAAGATTCCCTCTGACTGAAGAGATTCCTCCTCATCTCTCCAATTCTTTGTTTTGGGCAGCACAGAGCCTCACAGCATCAGGGGCCCGAGTTTGATTCCAGCCTTGGGTGACTGGGTGGAGTTTGCACAATCTGTGTGGGTTTCCACTGGGTGCGCTGGTTTCATCCCAAAGATGTACAGTTTAGGTGGATTGGCCATGCTAAATTGCCCCATAGGATTCAGGGATGTGCAAGCTAGGTGGGTTAGCCATGGCAAGTACAGAGTTACGGGGATATTATGGGGAAGTGGATCTGGCTGGAATGCTCTTCGGAGAACTGGTACAGACCTGATGGGTTGAACGGACCCTATCTGCACTGTAGGAATTCTATGACCCTATGACTCTACGCACTCAGTCCTAAGTGGCTTGACTCTTAATCCGAAATGGTGTTCCATTGTTCGAAATCGTATCACCACCCACACACCCAGCCAGGAGAAAAAAGATGTTTCTGCATCTACCCTGACCCTGTCACATCCGTAAAAATTTTGTTCGTAGCAATTAGTTCACCTCTAATTCTTTGAAACTGTGAATGCAGACCCAGTCTCTTTAATCTCTCCTCACAGGATTGCAAGGCCATGTCAGGACAGTTCTCCGTCACAGAAGGCAGCTGAGGCCAAAACATTGATTTTTTTTCGAGAAGGAGTCAGATATAGTTCTTAAGTCTAAAAGGATCAAACTGTTTGGGAGAAAGCAGGAATAGGGTACTGAGTCAGATGATCAGCCATAATCATACTGGATGACAGAGCAGGCTCAAAAGGCCAAGTGGCCTACTCCTAATTTCTTTTCCTACGTTTGTTTTATTGAAACAGTATGCTCCTAACTATTGGAATCCAGCTCTTTGGCTTTTTAAAAGCAGATAATCAATTGTTAAAAATATTATCAGTCTTTGTTGGTCCTAGTAAAATTGGAATACAACACAACTCTGGCATAAAATCAATTTGAGAGGATTAATCATTACAAGAATAAAAATCTCCTAAAAGAAAATACAGTATATCTAAACTTCAACTTTGTTTGGAAAACTTGTTTTCTGCACAAAAGTCACAATATCCCCTTGACCTACATAGCTTGCAGCTCCCCTTGGAACACAGCCAAGAAAACAAACAAATTTATACACACCACAATACTTTTTAAAATGTCCTAGGAAGAGAACAGTCATTGGGAAATCTGGCTCTCCCAAAAGAACCAGCCACAGTGGTTTCACCAAACACTCACCCACCCTTCATATCACCATCCACCACCACCACCACCACCACCACCCCCACCCCCAAAAAAATTAATCTAACTTTTAAGCAGAAAGTTAACAGCTATATCATCGTGACTTTTTTTTGAATAGCTAAAACATTGTCTTTCCATAAAGAAGAATTTGGAATCAAGAACTAATACAAGGTTTATCTTTCTCCATAAAAACACAAGTGTGCTGAAGCCACTGTCAATGTGCTGTGAGGAGGATGCAAACTTGGATTTAGTCTATGAACACCATGTTCAATCACTTTACACTTATATGTTCTGATTCTGTCCTGTCGTAAACCAGCAACATTTACATGAAAAGTCCTGTCACTATTTTTGGATTTTTTTTGTCCACTTAGTCGTGTTCTTCCTATAGTGGATCTCTCCTGAACATTTGAAAATAAACATTTGGTATCAAAACTCTAAGTATATTCTATTCAAATGTGCCACAGTAAAATGGTATTTAATTTAATTTCAAATCATGAAAAATTAATATTTCCTTTCATGTTTCCAAAGGTAGAAAAACACAATTACTTTTTATTTTGAGTGAAATTTTGTTTGAGATTAGAGTACATCTACTCAACTTGGCGAGGCAAAGTCTATCTACTATTTTTCTGTTGTTTTCTGATTTTCATAATACTAATTCACCTCTTTGGTTATAAGTTCTGATGAAGAGTCACTGGCCTCAAAACGTTATCTGTTTTATTTCCTCTACAAATGCTGCCAGACCTGCTAAGCTTCTCCAGCACTCTGTTTTTGTTATAAATTAATATTAGCAGGATTTAAAATTGTGCTTATGGAAGGTATTAGATGGATGGTTCAAGTCTGAAGAAAGAAGATTCAGAGGGGAATGAGAAAGTAAGAGAAACAAACAGAATAAAATGAGAAACTGGCAGCTAACATATGAGGGGGTGGAGGGAATCCCAATATCTTCTATAATATTGAATATCAGGAATATAGAATCTTGGAGGTCATCTTCTGTCAGCTCTTTGAAAGAGCTATCCTGTTAGTTGTATTGCCATCTCCCTTACTTGCCTTTATTTATTCCTGCATATTAGCATTTTCCAATTTTCTTTTAAAGTTTATATTGAATTTGTTTCAGCCATTTCAGGCAGAGCATTGAAGATCATTACATCTCGCTGTGTAAAATATTTAATATTAAAATAAAATATTAAAATCGTAAAAGGGTGGTAAAAGGTGTGGAGCTAATTAAGTAGTAGGATGAAATGCCTCTAAAGTAACTGAGGGCAGTGAGAATGGAATTTGCAGAAGCACTGGGCATAATTTACCAGTCTTCTTTAGACTCAGGAACGGTGCAAATGTCACACCCTTGTTCAATAAGGGATATACAGATTAGCCCAGCGATGATAGGCCAGTCAATTTTGAGTGGTGGGAAACTTCTACAAACAAAAAACAAAGAACTGCAGGTGCTGGAAATCTGAAATGAAAACAGAAAGAAGGGTCACTGGACTTGAAATAACAAGGTGCAGGGCTGGATGAACACAGCAGGCCAAGCAGCATCATAGGAGCAGAGAGGCTGACGTTTCGGGCCTAGACCCTTCATCAGAAAAGAGGGAGGGGAAGGGGGTTTTGAAATAAATAGGGAGAGAGTGGGAGGCGGATAGAAGAGGGATAGAGGAGAGGATAGGTGGAGAGGAAACAAACAGGTCGAAGAGGCGGGGATGGGGCCAGGAAAGGTGAGTGTAGGTAGGGAGTTAGGAAGGGGATAGGTCAGTCCAG